ATTTGAGTTAATATTTTGACCAGCTAAAACAACGGCACTGTGTGGTAGCTTAAGGACAAACAGATCCCCCAATCGATTGCCTAGCTCCAGTGCACAGCAAGCCCTTGCTCCACCATCCATCAGCAATAGTAGTCTGCTTTCTGGGAAGAACTAAGGATCAGATTTAGGAGAGACCCTCTTTCTTTCTTTCTTTCTTTCTTTCTTTCTTTCTTTCTTTCTTTCTTTCTTTCTTTCTTTCTTTCTTTCTTTCTTTCTTTCTTTCTTTCTCTCTCTCTCCTCTGCCACTTGTTTATCTCCTTAAAAATCTTAAGATCCCTCTTTCCCAAAAGTGTAGTACAGGTGTTGGTCAGTACACAGACATCAATACACATCTCTAGAGGGCTCCATCTATGTTACAAACAGATATGAAACACCAGGAGAACAATTCAATTGCTCTTTGTAGTTTTCCAGTCTGTTCCTACTTTCAGTTCACAGTGCTCTGAAATTTCTGATCATTGATCTTCCTCTCCATCTCAGCTTCTTCATGAGTGGGAAACTGCACCTGGAGGATGATATTTATGGCTCATGCGTGGTCAATTGAAAACAAAACAAAACACACAAAGCCCTTCAACCCACCTCTTTATAACTGTCCATGACTGAAATTGTGTCTGCATAGCCGTACTTCATAAGGCTCATAATATCATCAGCCCCAGCAACTTTTGAAATAAAACATTGATTTCCCATCCTGAGACTCCTGTAGAGTCTCTTACATTGTGGGGACTGCAGGACAGAGGGAAGATGAGTAGTCCAGATAGGCGGGGTATAAATAAAATAAATAAATAAATAAAAATAAATAAAGTCTTTACTTTCCAAAAATCATTGCTGCTGGAATCACTTTACCAGCGATAGTGATTTCTGGAAATTGAAGATTCCTTCTCCGGCTGTCATATACCTGACCCCAGTGAGTTCCTCAGGACCTCCAGAAGCAGGAACCAGAAATCTTTTATTTCAGGAAAAAAGGCCAAGGCTCATGGCATCTTCATCCTGACGTGGTGTAGCTGCACACAAAGGATTTCAGTCCCTGTCAAGTAAAACTCCACCATATTGATCAATTGACCTGTCAACATACTGTACCCTATTTGTGGACAGTGAAAGGGTGGAGAGACCATTTCCTTCCATTTTTACCTCAGAAAGACACAAAGAATTACCTGCATTTTTCATGGTGTGCAGCTTCCCATTAACAGTGGCAGTAAGTAGCTTCTTTTTATTGTCTAATGTGGCTACTGCTACGTATGTTAGTATGACTTGTACTCTCAGCCTGGGCACTAATTTTCATGCTATCTGTGACCTAGTGAGACACATGACTGTTACCTCAGAAGAACACACACACACAGATAATTCTGAGAGAAATTCTGCCATTTTCTCTCCCCCAACCCCAGAGATTAAGGAAAAGGGAGTTCTCAGAAATGTTCCCAAGAAAAATGAAAATGAAAAATGTTGAGAACTGTTGGTTCGTGTTTACTTTCCACTCCTCTCTGAAAATAAAACTTCTGACAAAAAAACAACACCTAAAAGATTTTTTTTAAATGCAAAACAATCCATTTCAATGAGTGGCAAATGTGTCATGTAAATCCATCATCAAAATCTGGGAGTCATCCAGAGGCATGTTAAAATGGATGCCACATGCCCAAGAGTCATCCATTTTACATCAGCCCACAAACCCTCTGTGAAATGCCACCTTAGGATTTGAACTTCAATGGATCTATTAACATCCCATTCATAAAGATGTTTGCCTTATGTAGCAGAACCCATTTCAATCATCTGTTTGTATATAATTAACATCTTGTTGTCCCTGAGGAAAATGTTCACTGGGTGAGGTTCAACTAATATGCTGAGTCTGGTTGGCATTAAATAAGCATTATTATATTTAGGAAATTTAATACATAGATGCCTAGGCTTAGGCTATATCGGACACTTTGTCTCAGAATTCAACTGGACGACTATGATTCTCGTCACTCTGGGTCTTAAATCTATTTTTATCACCCTGAAGATCTCATCTGTCAATATTTGATTAGAGGTCCTAGCTGCCTGCAACAGCTTTTCTGAGTTTGATAGATAATCTGAAGCGCCAGGATCATCGATTGAAGCTTCATCCCAGAAAAAAAGAAGTTTGGGAGATCATTTTTGATTATACTTCAACCAGTAACTCCTACCGCTTTTACGTTTAGTGGAAAGACTGTATCTTCCTGCCTTATCACTGCAAAGACAGACTGTGCCTATATTGATTTAGACAGAGGGTTTCAAATGCATTCCACCTTGATTATTTTTTCATACCATCTCATCTAAGGTTAAAGAAAACAATCCTCAGGGTTATTCCTCCTCCACAGACATCATAACTGGTACAACAGAAAAGTCTGAGAAACAATATGTAATTTAAATTCCTCATGAAGAAAACAGGACATAACCCTGTGTTCCTGTTGCTGTAACTTACTACAGACATAGCAGAGCTTGAATTTCTCTTATAAGAAATTCAGCCAGGATCTTTCTCAATGCTGGCTGGAGGATTTTGGGAGTTGTAGTTAAAAAAAAGAGTAATTTTTTTCAGACTCTGGCTGAAAGTAGCATTGTCACTCATTCTAGACCAGAAGAGAAAAAAATATTGCTTCTTTCCCTGCCACACTCTTGAGAGGGTCACCTCAGGTATCTCTGGGGAGCTGGGGAGAGACTCTCCCAGACCCTTGGCAGGCAGGCAGGTACCACCACAGCTAGAGAAAGAACAACAGCCCGATGCAGGGCAGCTGGAGAGGGAAGTGGTGGCATGGGTAAAGGGACAGGAGCTAGAGGATTCAGGGTAGTCATTAGTCTGGAAGAGGAGATAATGTGAGAGGAGGTGTCCAAGAAGTGGAACCTTATCTTCTGGACCTTTGTGGAGATAGAAGGTGGGATAGAAAACATTTGGAGTCACCTCATTTGACCATGGGAGGGCCAGCATCACAACCCACTGGAGGTCCTGTGCCACCTCAGCCTTTACAACTTTGATGCCTAATGGAAGCTTCAGTTCCTAACTCAACTGCAAACACTGATAGGAGCACCAAATCAGGCTCTGGCAGGGATGACTTGGTAGACTTCAGTCCACCTCACCCAGTTCTACCACTCCTCCTTAAAAGAACTGTGATGTGGATTGGTTCTCATTTTCCTCTCCCTCTTTGCTAGACCTGGACTTTCAGTGACCCAGTGAAGTCAGCTGGGGTCCACTTGGACAGACTGTGAGAGGGGGGGGGTTAGTGTCAGAAACTCAACTTTCTGGGGATGTGGGAGAGGGGACAGTTGATATAAATTCTGTTCTATTAATAGAAGCTGTCAGGATTTTAAAACTCAAGCTCAAACTCATAGAGTTATTGTCTGGGCACTTCCCAGCTGCTGAACACGGGGAGGGGGAGCAGTGGCAGTCACACACACCCTATCTATTTGTGGCTGCCTTTTCAGTGCTCACCACTCATTCTGGATTTGAAAGAAGCCCTATTCAGTTGGCACCTTATCTGCCATTGTCAACATGGATAAAGAAGGAAAGCTAGACCTGCCCACCATTCACTTTCTGCATATTTACTTATTGTATTTATTTAAAATATTTTACCCTGCCTTTCTCCTTAAAAGGACCCAAGGCAACTTACATCAATAAAAGGCAAAATAAAAGCTGACACCAGTGAGTATACAGATACTTAAAAGGATCAAATACTATACAAAAAACATAAGCAGCACCAAAACACATTCAAAGCAGTAAGGCACAACAATCCATTTTTTAAAAAAAACCACTCAGGCAGTCAGTCCCTCAGGGAAGCTTGCCTAAAGAGAAAAGTCTTTGCCTGCTTGCCGAAGGACATCAGAGGTGAGAGCCAGACTTGCCTCTTGTGGGATGGAGTTTGGAGCAGCAACAAAGAAGACCCTTTGTATGTGTGGCCCAAACCAATTTTTCATCTTCTAATGTGGCCCAGGGAAGGTGAAAGGTTGGACACCCCTGATCTAAACAGTCAAACAGGCTCATAAAGGGAGATGCATTTCTTGAGAACTTGGACCCACAATGTTCAGGGCTTTATTTGTTAGGGCCAACACCTTGAAGTCAGCCCAGAAATGGATCAGCAGCCAGTGGAGCTGCTGTAACAAGAGGGTTATGTGATCCCTGTAACAAGCCCTAGTCAGGAATTTGGCTGCTGTATATGAGCAGGGATTAATCAAAAGAGGTGAAGTTCTTGTGTAGGCTCCCTTTATAAGAAAGAACTCCAGAAAACCTGGGTTCTTGTTACATATAAAGCCTATGTCGGAGCAGGAACCTCTCTTCAGACTTGTCCATGTGCATATGGAAAAAGCAGCAAAGGAGACTTATGCTAGCTGCTCTTTTCCATTTGATGAAGCCAGATAAAGGCATCCCTGAATAGGGCTAAAATTGACAGCACCCAGTGAGAAATCACACACACATACAGGTCTATGACACATGGCAGTCATTATCTCACTCCTTAGCCTTAAATATTATAGCATGACACTGATTCAAAACAATTGGATCCTTCCTTGTCCTCTTCCCTCCCTTTTTTCTTGCATGTCAAGGCAAGCCTTCCTGGGCTTCTTAAGCCACAGTTTTGCACTGCATCCAAACCAGGGTGTGGGCAAACTTGAACGGCTTGAGAGCTATTCTCCAAATTTGCTGGCACCTCACATGTTCACCCCTTGCAAAGTGTCATGGCACCTGGGATGTTCCTTCTCAGAGGATGACATGTGTCAACTGGATGGTTATAAGGATCAGCTAGGGCCTTAAGCCAGCAAACCCAGACCAGGGACACCCAAGATAGAGCCTGTTCTGCCCAGAAAAGACTCATTGTTTCCAGATAGATATGAAGCCCTGGGAAAAAAAAGATTCTCTAGTCAGTCCCCAGGAATGTGAACAGAGCAAAGCCCAGCTGTAGCAAGGTCAGCAGCTACAGCTAAAGCCACTATGAGTAGCTGATTAACAGCAGCTGGTACGAGGGAGGTTTGGCGAGATTCCAAGCACCATGATGCTGCTGAGGAGCAAGGTCTATTTCTGTCTGGCCTTGCTCCCAACACTCCTTATTCCCCTGATTGATGGCTCTCCAACCAACGTGACCCAACTGCTTCGTGACTGTGCCTCTGCCTGCATTATTGACCTGGTAAGACCTTGATTTATAAAGAGGCTATAACTGATATCCTGCCAGTTCTTCTTGGTTCTCCTTCAGCATTGGTTAATGGCTCCCTGGTGTCCCCACTTAGCCTGGCTTTGGGCATTGCCCTTTGCACTCTGATCATAACTGCTTATGTCCAGAGGCAGCATTTGCTGCAGAAAAAACAGGATAGGGGGCAGGGCCCAGGTGGGAAGGGTGTGGCCACAATAGGAGGGCGTGGGCACCTTCCAAATTCACTTTTTAAAATTAAATAGCTAAAAAGTAATTTTCATAGATTAGAATGATGGATTTGCTGTATTTTTTTTAAAATTTTTACACTAATGTACTATAAGTTCAGAGAAAGTTTTTATTACGGTTTTAGATTTAATGAAGGAATTTTTTAAAAAAGATTTTAATATGGCTTAAAAAGGAAAGAGAAATGAGATGAGAACTGATGCTCTGAATCATGGCTTCTCTGTTGCTTATATAGCATCTTCTCAGTTTCATAGCTTTTTCTCTTCAGTGAGTGTTAATTAAAACTATTTAGTTCTGAAAGAGAGATTCTTATATTTTTCTGAAAAATAATTATTCTATTCTGTATTTACTTTAATAATCTTGAATTAACAATGAAGCATTTGATGTTTATTTCCTAGAATGATACTCCCATGCTTATTATAATAATTGTTATTTCTGGATATTGAATTCCAGGAATGAAATGAAAGAGTCCACCTGCATCCTGTGGCCACACTTTGTCCACTCTTCATGATACTGTGTAACTGTAAACCAGGATTATAAACTGTGGTCTGGTGCTGGTTTACATATAAGAATTTTCTGATACACATAACTAATACCGATTTAACAAATTTAATAGCTACGTCTCTACTGGCTAAAAGGAAGAAATGTATCACCAAAAAAAGAGAGAAAAGAAGAGAATACAGATCTGCATTTCCTGATTTTCTATTACATTCATATGTGAAGGGAGTTTTATTTCTAAAAGTCAGGGCAAAGAGCAGATCAACAAACAGACTGCATCACAGGATAAAAGAAAGCAAAAGTAGAAATTACTACAAGGCAGAGAAAAATAAAAGGTGACACAGTTGTAGAAAATCAGATGGGAAAATGATTTAAATTACTAGTCTCAGAAGCCAAACCATTTCATAATTAACAGAAAGTCTTTGAGGCCTGGGTCCATCTCATCTATTGTTATAAATCCAGTCTGAGTTGTAGGCGGGCCATCAATATTCCAATTCATCATTTGGGTAGTTCATAATCATCACCTTATTGGACACTGAAGAAACAAAGAATCGTCAGTGCAGTTCAGGACTGTTTGCAACATGTCAAGGTTGCAATTAGGGCTGCCAAAAGGCTCCTCCAGCCTGTGAAATGTGGTAAGATTCAGCATGTTGTCCCCATTCCTTGCTGATAAAAAAAAACACAAAAACTTACTGTGAGCAGATTTTGCAAACTATTTTCATCAAGGCATATATTGCTACTTTTTTATATTATTATTGAGTTGATGATTTGGGCTTGAGAAAGAAGAGAGTGAAATTCATAACTGGTTTATTCTATACAGTGGTGCCTCGCTTAACGGGTGCCCCGTTTAATGATGAAATTGCATAGCGATGAAGATTTTGCGATTGCTTTTGCAATCACTTTGAGATGTTCCCTGTGGGAATCGATTTGCGATGATCGGCACCCTGTTTTGCTTACCGATCATTGCAAAGCGATGATTTTTTAAAAGCTGATTGGCGGTTCCAAAATGGCCACCGGGTAAAAAAATCGCCGTCCACTGTTTTCTGGGATGGATTCCTCGCTTACCGGGCAGCAAAAATGGCCGCCGTATGGAGGATTTTCGCTTAAAGGTGAGTCTGAAGCCCATAGGAACACATTGAAGGGGTTTCAATGCATTCCTATGAGCTTTTTAATATCGCATAGCGACAAAATCGCTTTGCAGAGATTTTTGTTGCACCGATTATCGTCGCTATGTGAGGCACCACTGTATTGTCCTTTCTTTCCTCCAAGCAGTTTGAAGTAGCTTGTTTGTTTAATCTGTTACCACACTTTGTGAGCTTGTTTAGATGGTAACTTGTTTAAGAAAACCTGATGAATTTTATAGGTAGATATTTGGAGTGGATATGTTTTTTAAAATAACTCCAGTATCATGAGAGAGATTCATTTTCATGAAGTTCCAGAAATAAAAAAAGATCTGGTTTTATAACACTGGTCAAAATCTTGTTGTTTATCATAGTAAATCACATTGGAGTATGCCCACAGAATCCATAGGGGTTTAGTGAGTCAACTCCTCCATAAGTTCCATTGATTCACATGGGCCTACTCTGTGACTTACTATGCAAAAGTTTGAGTAGGCCCATGTGAATTAATATGAAGGAGTTCCCTCAGCAAATCTCCATTGATTCAGTGGGCCTACTCTAACACAATTTACTACAGTAAGCAACAGGATTTTGGCCATTGTGTGATCTTAACACTGTTTCAGAGCTATTGACTGACTAATTCAAGCCACATTTACTACAGTCTTGGAGTAGCTGTTTCCCTTCTTCTTTAGGTCTGAAAGATAAAAAGAACTGACAGTAATCAAAATCAGGGGAAGAAGTTGTAAGACTGGATAAATGTTTTAGATAAAGGGCTTGAGAACTCAATTGGACATCCTACCTTTTTTAGATACGGCTCGTATGTGTCAGAAGAGGTTCAGCAGTGGATCAGACTCGATCCAAACAGAGGCTTGAAAAGTACACAATGCAGGCAGCAGAATGTCATCAGCAAATTGATCCAAAGTTATAATCAATTGAATAATCACTCATAGGAAATAAAATATTTTCAAAACTGTGAACCTACTATATATTTAACCTATACATTTCCATAATTATGTCAATGACAAAGAATGATGTTTTTGAATCTAGAATGATTAATATACTACCAATTATGTGGGTCTTGAAAAATGACTGTTAAATTGTTCATTAATTTTATAAAATGAATATCATGTCATATCTTAAGAAAAATTTCTCTTTCCTCTACTTTATAGAACAGACACATGCATTTTTGATGTGTCTAACATTATTATTGCATTATCATTATTACAGTATATGAATAATCATATTCAATTTAAAATTGCTTTCCATGAATCAGACTTTTAAAATCAGAAGCACTGTGGTAGGTTAATAACAATAAGAAAACATGATATTATTACCTTTTATGATAATGCTTCCAAAAACCAGATACATAAAAGAATTAAACACAGTTGATCTCCATCTCTAAATGCAGTAATATACTTTTAGTGAGATTGTGCACATGGTTGGTTAATGACTTCCAAACAAGCAAGATTGTCCTAGTTATTTAACAGTTCCAAAACTCTGAAGGTTATCAATGAAGGATAGGGAGTAATAAACAGGAAAAGGAAAAAGTAACATGGAGGGAAGAGGAAAACAAGCATTGGAATAGCTCTTCATGGAAATTCAATTGTCCCTTGGTTTACTGGTGAAACTTTGAAGCCAGTGTGTACTACTTTTCATAATACACCATCTTGGCTGAAATCCTTTTGCTTAGTGCAGTAAATCACAACTAGAGTAGGCTCATTGAATTAGTGGGGATTTAATGAATCAAGTCCTGCATAAGTTCAATTGATTCAATAAGTCTACTCTAGTTCTGGCTTATTAAGCAACAGGATTTCAGCGTTTGTGTCATATTTCAAATTCAATGTAGGAACATCTCAGTTTTATTTTAGTTGATACAGACCAGCCCCATGCTTTCCCTTTCATGTAGATCCCATCTGGCAAATAGCAAACCATTTTTATTTATTTATTTGCAACTTAGATTAATTCAGTCAAGGGCTCTCTGTATAGCTCTGAAACAGGATATATACCCTAGAGCGAACATGTTCTTTTTGACATTTTTATTGCACAGAGTTCAGGAAGGCAATTGGCACCATTTAGCAGCTGGCTCACTGTCAAACAATCCTCAAAAGCCACCCACTCTGAGATCCTTCCAAAAATGATCAACCCTGAAAACTGCAAGACAAATAAAATCTTCTCAATGTATGCACTGATTTTACTTTAGCTGCATTCCCAGTCATTTCTTTTTTCCTTCATTTTCTGCCTAAAATGAAGAATTAATGTAAATATTTGTAGAGATGAGCAATGCAATGGCTAAATGTAATTCTCCATATCAGTGGCATTACGATCCAGCAGTAAGTTTGGCATTATGTGATGGTGGTAGATATCAGTTGTAGCAGGTGTAGCAAACACCCTGTCTTCCTATATATATAGTGGTATTGGCCTGCACCAACAGGAGCTGTTGGGAGGCAGAGGCAGAGAAACCAGAAGGAGGGGTGAGTCAAAGAGAGAAAAGGCAATCAGTTTAAGTCAGAGAGGAGAGTCTGACATGAGAAGGGACTGAGAGTCAGAGATGAGGGTCTGAAGTAGACGTTAGTCTGTGGTAGTTAGAGGAGGTAGCAGAGTTAGGAGTTAAGAGTGTGGAACTTACAGAGAGCTAAAAGAGTTAAGGGTGAAACAAGTTATTAATAATCAAATGAATATATTAAAGTCTATGAAAAACCTCTTTAAGCAAACTGTAATCAATAAACCTGTGTTTTCAACTTTATACTCAGCTTGGACCTCAATCTTTCTAATTAAAGGGTGTTGGCAGAGGTCAACTGGTGGCAGGGAGGTAAAAGATCTGTTGAGATACTTGCATGAGCTCTGTGTTTGGTGAAACAAGCAAGGGCCAGATGGGTAAACATCACAGCAGGTAAAGGTAAGTTTTGACCCCCTTAACACATCTTGCATTGCATAGGATATACCACAAGCTTCTGCTCCAGGAGTTGTACCACAAGCAGCTGCTTTCAATTCACAAAGGTTGAATATGTTCAGAAAGTAAACAGTACTCACTGAATTTGTAACTATCATAGATGTAGGCCATTTTGATTTAGCATGACATCTCAAAGAGAGACTTTTTGACCACGTGGGAGTCATTGCCTCCAGATGAAAGCATGAAAAAGAGCACTGTTTTTTCTTGTCATTATCTCCACGAATTGTGGAAACCGTCATTGCAAAACTAGCGTTCTTTCCCAGCATAGAAGGTTGTCTGATGGTTAAGAAAGAAAATCCCTGAAGATGCCCCCCACTACTTTAATCCTTAAAAAATCCATGCAGGAATATAGAACTCTTCTGCATTATGTGCAATTTGCATTCAGTATTATTTCTGTTATTTGCACTATCTTGCTTCATTTTCACACATCAACCCCTCTCATGTTTTTCTCTTGTTGACAGTGGAACAAAATGCCTCAGCCTGGGAAAAGGAGATGTGGGAGGACCTGACCAATGAGGATTTGCATCCCTAGGAGAGAGTAGGATGAAAATAGAGCAGTATTGGGAGACTGCAAGGTATATCGGGGGGGGGGGACTTTCTTTTCACTTTCTAAATCCAGCTTGCTCTGTCTGCCCACAGATATAAAACTTCTCGTACTAAGTAATGAGACTCTGACACCCCTTTCACAAAGAGGTAAGAAAATTCCCAGGGAAGGAGTGGTGTGCCTTCTTCTCCAGTCCTTCTGGGATTAATGAAGTCACGAGCATAATCGTAACTCTGATATTATCAAGTTCCTAACTGATCTGCTGACAAAAGAATCTCTGCCCAGTGATTTGGCCAGGAGCCCACCTCCACTTATTCTCCTTTTTTACTTGACCAATATATTCCCAGATCACACCTGTAGGAGCTGTCTGTACCCTGGGGTCAGCAGTAAGTAGCCAAAGCTGAAACTATGATGGATTGAATCCACAGTGACTCCTGCCGTATCAAGTGATGTGAAGCCTATCAAGTGATGAAATGCCTAAAAGGCATTTGATCTGATTCTTTTCTGCTCTGTTTTTTGCTGATATACCACAGTATCTGCACCTTTTCCCCCATCAGCTCTCTGGCTATCCCATTCCCACCATCGCCATTTGCCAGCCCTTTGTCCTCCTTTGACCACCATCATTTTTTTTTAGATTTCCCCCCCACGGCATCTCCATTTGCATTAACCTGTAATTAAAATTGTGCATCCTAAGCAGGCACACAAAAACATTTTTAAAAAGATTTTAAAGGGGGGAATAAGAGCAGAGCATGCTATTCTCATCAGGTGATATCATACCCAGCTCCTTGCACGCCTATAGCAACGGAGTGCACACTGGATTAAAACAAAAGAGTGCTGTACTTCGGGCTGTGTTACAAGCTAGGTCATTCCTATTTGCAGCTAACCTACAGCAAATGCATTCTCCTTGGTTTACTACAAATGTTTAGTTCCTGCCCTCCTTAAGGATTCCTAGCTATTATCTCTGATTAGAGATAGCAGTTATCTGGTCAGAGATATCAGTGGTGTTTCCTCTCCTTGCTACCTTTGGGAGCTGGTCTCATTTATTGGAGATGGAAAGATAACATTTACAGAGGAAGCAGACTATCATATAATTCAATGCATGCATTTGTTCCTTTTGGGACGAGCATCACATATAAAGGGGGAAGCACATTCGTTCAACAAAAGGGAGAAGAAAAAAGAAAGTGTATTGATTACCTCAGTAGAAGACAGGTGCGTGTGAAATGTTCATACAATGTTTATTAATAGATGCACATTTAGAAATTAGCATTATTATTATTTATATGGACATATAGTAGCCCCTGTAGGCAAGACCAATCTAGAGACTTATTAGTTCTTTCTGCAAGCTCAATTTGCCTGCTTCATTTGTCCACTCCTACCTGTTGATGGGAAACTTCCTTGTTTTCCTTCCTCCTCCTTAATAATCTTTAAATTGGATTTGGACTAGTTTATCCCTTAACCAGGGATGTGGTGGCGCTGCGGGCTAAACCGCAGAAGCCTGTGCTGCAGGGTCAGAAGACCAAGCAGTCGTAAGATCGAATCCACACGACGGAGTGAGTGCCCATCACTTGTCCCAGCTCCCGCCAACCTAGCGGTTCGAAAGCATGTAAATGCGAGTAGATAAATAGGGACCACCTCGGTGGGAAGGTAACAGCGTTCCGTGTCTAAGTTGCACTGGCCATGTGACCATGGAAGATTGTCTTCAGACAAAACGCTGGCTCTATGGCTTGGAAACGGGGATGAGCACTGCCCCCTAGAGTTGAACACGACTGGACAAAAATTGTCAAGGGGAACCTTTACCTTTACCTTATCCCTTAACCAGAGTTCTGTAAAACTGGAGAGGGCACTGTCTCAAATCCTCTTCCACCTCAGTTCCACTTTTCTTGCCTATTCAGTTCTGAACAAAAGAAATTATGCTGATTTAACTCAAGGGATCCTGTGAGGGAGTCATTCTCTAGAAGTTGTAAACTGTGAAGATTAAATGCTATGTAAATTGTACCTAGTAGAGCAAATAAATGTATTTTTTTCTAAGGACTCAAATGGGGATAGAGCTGGCATGGAAATGAAGCCCTAAGCAGCAATGAAAGACTGCAGTGAAGCATTCTACTAAACATGCCGACTTAGAAGCTGTAGCTAGCCTAATCTTCTTCTGCCAGGATTTTAAAAGAACAAAAAGTCTTCATCAAGTGAGTTGTGTGCAAGGATGTAAAAGAGTGTCTGGACATATCAAGACATTCCAATGGAAAAAAATGAACCATGACAACATTTTCCCTTCCTGCTCAAGCACTTTAAATCAGCAACATTAGAAAAACAAAACAAATGCCTTTGTATTAAGAACTTGTACTTGTGTGTGTGTGTGTGTGTGT